TTCAATGATCCTGCTTCTACTTGACGATCATGGGGACACCCTTGCATGTGCCCTATGAGTTTGGTCTTCCTTTGCTCCAAAGCATACTGTTTACACCTGAACTCACTTAATCTACTTATCACTTGGAGAAGTGTTGAGATGAAGCTCCTTGCCTTTTGCTCAGCCTCCTGGCAGCCATACTTTAAACAGTACGCTGCTCTTTTTGGTCCAGATGCTTATTGGAATAACAACTTCAGTTTCACTTTTCAGTTGAAAGAAAGGACTGAGAATTATTCCCTTAAGAGTGTTGCTAGCAGATTGTGCTACTCCACACCTTGAGTATTGTGTCCAGTTTTGGGCCACCCAGTACAGAACGGATGTGACCAATTGGGAGAGTTCAGCGCAGGGCAAAAAGAATGGTTTGGGGGATGGGGCAGGTGAGTTCTGAGAAGAGGCTGTGGAGAAGAGAAGACTGAGAGGGGATTTCATAGCAGTCTTCAGCTACCTGAAGGGTGGTAACAAAGAGGGTCTCTGCCACTGCTGGACCTGGCCTCGTGGCCTGGGCACCTTTGCCCATCTGCCCTGTACTCATCACTGGGGATGCTGAATGGCATGGGCATGGGGAGTCTCCAGGGAGGCTGATCCAGGACCCTGGCTGGCAGGTTGCTCTCAGCTGGGTAGATGATATCGGGCTGTGGGTGGGCAGGGAGCAGCATCTGGGAGTGTGATGGTCAGGGCCGGGAACATGGGGCAGTGGCAGTGGAGCTGGGGCCAGGACACAGCTGTAGTCCACTCCCTGCGTATCCGTGCCTACAGAACTGGCACTCACTGTAGGGACGTGCAGGAAGTGGATCCTGGCTCTGCCCTGGGCCCTGGCCTAGTGTTGTCACTGCCCTTCAACCCCAGCCCTGCCTGCCCATGCTGCTCCTGGATGCCGCTTCTTGCCTGCCTGTGGACCCTTCCCATCCATCCAGCCAAGTGTGCCTGGTTCACGGGTGTCTTGGGCTGGTCTCCCTGAAGACCTTGCCCGCTGCCCACCTGTTCTGTTCAGTGCCCTTGGTAGTGAGTGCAGGGTGGACAAGACCAGGGCCAGATAAGATAAGTTGCCCCCTGCCCTGCTGTGCATTTGTCACGCACAGGGCATCTTTCCTGCATTGTTTACAGGTTTTGCTTGAAATGCAAATTTAGTGTTTTGTTGTCTTTAGGTGCTAGTTCAGCTGAAATGTATATGCAGTTTCCTTGCCTTCTTTTGGTATGCTGGCTTAGCCTTTTTCTATGGCTTTCTTAGTTTGGAGATGCACATGTAATGAGTGCATTGGGTCTCTGCCAATAATTTTAACTGTCACTTTTTTTTTTAGGGTTGAAGCTTTTATCATGCTTATGGCATGAGTTTAGTATTGGGTATTGCAAGCCATTAGCAGAGATTGATTGATTTATTTTGGTAGCAGTCTTGTCACTACAACCCAGTCTTGTCCCAGCTACTGTCTTGCATTTTTGTGCAAGAGACACTGTCCAAGCTATAACAGCCAGGAAAATTGTATGACTAATTTTTTAAACTAGTATTTGAGTGTAAAGTTGTAATTAAACTATTTTTTTCCCCTTTAGAATTTAGGTCCTTCTGTATTAGCAGGTGTGGCAGTCATGGTCCTTTTGGTGCCATTAAATGCCGTGATGGCAATGAAGACAAAAACGTATCAGGTAACGTATTAAATACTTTGTGTTTGCTTTAAGAAATGTTACTACTCTGTGACCTTTTTAGTTTTCATGCTTGCTGTATTTTGCGATACAAGGTGGTTTTCAGAAGAAGCACATGCTGCCTGAAAATTATCTTTAGATTTGTGACTAGCGTGCCTAATGGACTTTCCAAAAAAATATCAACAGATATTTTACAATCTTGATTTCTAGTATGGAAACATTGTCTATAAAACAACATCACATATTAAAATGCAATGTTTCACAGTAGCATAAAATAGAAAGTTATGCAGCTTAGTAAGATGCCTAATAAGAGAAAATGCAAGTTGTACCACTTCTGACTTGCTGTCTGAGACCTGAAGTCAGAGCACTTACTATTTAGGCAGTAGTCCACGTTTTGTGTGAAATATTTATGTTTCTAGAATGGTACTTCTAGTGACAATTTTTTTCCTTGGTCACAGTTTGGGTCGTAAGTTTTGTTCTGTTTTTCTCCATAGGTGGCTTTCATTTTTACTTTTCAGTTCCTTTATTTCTAAAGATACACATATATAAATCCAGAATGTAATTCCTTTATTGATTTTTTTTTTTTTTTTTTTTTTTCTTTAACACTTTTATGAAGGAAAAAAAATTACACATGATAAATTTTAGTATCTGGAGTCTGATACAGATGCATGTGTCACTGATTGGTGACACTATTATTAGCTGCTAAGTGAGAATTGTAAAATTATCTTGATTTAATTGTATATGCTGATAAAAAGTATACACTATTTAATACAACCTTTGGATCAAATGTAGAAGTTGCAGAGTAAATTAACTGAATGGACCCTCTGGTTGTTGAAGCTAGATTGCTTTTGAAATCCAAGATAGATTATTTAGAACTACATAAAGGGTCTCAACACAACCCTGCAATCTGCTCTGTAGCCTTACCTTTCAGTCTTGTGCTCTCACTATTTAATGGCCTTTTTTCCATGCTTTGTACTGCATCTCTATGATCCTCTTCAAAGGCTTCTTTTATAACTGGAATAGTTTTGAGAAGATAGGAAGTGAACATAGAATCATAGGACAGAAGGGCTGAGAGAGCGCTCAGGAGTGATCATCTAGTCAAATTCTTTGCTCAAGGGAGAATTACCCCTGTCTAAACCATCCCAGGCGAATGTAACCATCTCATGATGTACTGGGGAGGAGAATGCCCCAAAAAGTTAAATGTCTTCTGCTGAAATCTGAAGGTTTATCACCTTGGTTCTCCATTAGCTCATACTGGGCGCATCCACACTGTAATCACAGGTACTCCCTTAATGCACTGTAATCAGCACTACTGTGCATTAGCTATGGTGCATGCTTTTTTGGTGACACTAATGCTCAGTAAGTAGCCTAGTTTTTGCACATTTGGCATGGGTTTTGCCCACTGTGCTACTGTGCGCTAGAATTAGTATACTGCGCTTGAAACGTCTCATGTAGATGTGCTCATTTAGTAGTAGCATAAGCAGAACAAAATGTTGCATTGTGTAGGGTGGCATATGGTAAGGTACAAACTATAGCAGTCAAGTTCAGTTACAGTGGTGTTACTTTTTAAAAAAAATTGCATTTGGTGTATAACTTTGTAGCTGAGAAGAAATTGAGTAACAGAACTGATAATCAGGTCCTCTGGTAATGGCATGTAGGTTTCTGAATTATTTTTGTTTTTAATGTTCTGATAATTCATTTGTACCTTAGCTTTTCTCCCCCCCCCCAATCTAAAACATTCCTTAATTGGCTGAAATGTCTATCTACTTCTACAGTTCTCTGTTAAGGACTTGTTAAGCATTTTTAAAAAATATTATGTGCATTTGTAAATACATCACTTTCTTTTCCCCCATGATAATTAGGTATGTATTACTGTTGAGAATTAATAATGTTTTTAATTCAAATAATTTATCAATGGCCTTAATTTTTGTCATGTTTTTCAGGTAGCCCAAATGAAAAACAAGGATAACCGAATTAAACTGATGAATGAAATTCTCAATGGGATCAAGGTGCTGAAACTTTATGCCTGGGAATTAGCCTTCAAAGAGAAAGTACTGGGGATCAGACAGGAAGAACTGAAAGTACTTAAAAAGTCTGCTTACCTAGGAGCAGTGGGTACATTCACTTGGGTGTGCGCTCCTTTTCTGGTAGGTAAAACAAACATGAAGGCTTTTTTTGTGGTGCATTTAGAAATCTAATGGGACAGGGGAATGAAGTCTTGCTTTTTTGCTAGTTGCATTACTACTGGTCTTTCACTCCTAGCAGTAAATTGGTCCTCTAAGCAGAACTTCATCTGCAGTTGGGGACAGATCCAAAAGGGATACAGTGGCGTGGCCATACCCTCCCCTTTCTAACCACTTGGCAGGAGCAGCAGCTGGGGAGTTTAAGTCCCTGAAGAAGGTACAGATCCCACCCTCTTCCCTTCATGCTTAGCGGTACACACCTTCTCCTCCCATTTTCCTGTCCCCACCTGCTGTTGCTGCTATCTCTGTGGTTCTAAGCATGAGAGAAACTCCTGTCCTACTCCATTGTGGCTGTGCAGGGTTTGGGCTTAGCCTGGGGCATTGGCAGCAGGTGGCTAGGTTCCCCTTCCTGGCCTGGTCGCCACGCTGGGTGTTTCCCTGCTAGCCTTGGAGTAGGCGTGGGGAAGAACTTGACTGCCTGCTTGTGGCCACTGCCATTGTCCTGGGCTGAGCCTGGCTCCCATGCAGCCTACTTAGTGTGGGACTGGAGCTCTTCTCACTCTCAGGACTGTGGCAGATATTGGGGGAGCAGGGAGGGAAAGGGGGTGGACTTCTTACCTGCTTTGAGGACTTCAAAAAGTCCCTGATAACTGCACCGTCTGCCTGCCCTATTGAGAGGGAGAGAAGGCTGGGAGCAGGGGATGCAGCCACCCCTGCAGCACTGGTTGCTGCTCCTGCTCCCTCTTTTTACAAAATCCTGCAAAATCCTTTTCTGTCCACAGCAACATGAACGTTGTAATTTCTCAATGTCTTTTTGAAAGGAGGATCTTGATACCTTCTGGTCTTCCAGAATGACATTGCTTATAGTAGGATAGTTCCCTGTAACACTTCTACTTTCTTCGTCTGTGTCCTTTCTGGAGAAAACACCTTAGAATTGCATGTACAACAGATTCACGAGTAAGAGGCCTCAACAAAAAGGAACATCATGCACGTCCATTTAGAACACTTATCAATTCACTTCACAAATACCCCTGACCACACCTTGGACAGGGAAAGATTATTCTGTAATTTGGGATCATTTAATATTCTACCTCCTAGAAATCTACTTCCTTTTCATGTCTAAAGGGGAAAAAAAAAGAGAAACTGACTTGTTCGTTGTTGGCTTAAATTTTAAATTTAAAGAAAAAAGAGAGAAGAACAAATTAAAATTGCTTGTGGCTGTATTGGAACAAAAGTTGCTCTTGCCTGTAGAAGCAAATAAAACCATGACTACATTAGGATAAAATATGTACTGTTCTTGTTGAAGGTGTTTAAATGTTCTTTCCACTCATGGATTCCTTCCTTCCAACTGCTATTAGTGTTTACACTGTAGGTGTGATAAAAGGCAGAAGAAGTCACAGCCTGGGTAGGAAATGTCAGAAGCATTCTTTAGTGACTGCTTGTCTAAAAGAAGGATATGGAAAGAAAAATCCACATACCATTCCAGAGATGGGCTTTCCTTATTTTAATTTTACGTAGGGCCCAAGGTTGACAGTTTCTACCCAGCTTTTAAACTTCAGTGTGTAGTGAATGCACAGCAGGCCTGTTCTTGCAGGTCAGGGGCAAAATTTCCACAGAAGCAGGACTGGTGCTTAAGTGCGAGTGTCCTAATACTTCCTCTTTACCTCACTTTTATCCATTGGGATAATTTTTTGTAAAGGACTATGTAGTAGGTGTTTGACTTGTTTCGTTTCCTTTTCAGCTACACGTTTTTTTTTTCCCCCTGCTTTCTTCTCTACCCTGTTGCTCTTGTGGCCAGAGATGTTTTATAACATTGTGTAATATCAGTGTCATAAAATGAATCATTGCCTTGTACCTTTGGGTGCGCCTGTACTTGCTGATAAGATTGTATCTTGGTTGAGCGGCCAGTAAATACTTGCACGTTCCTTTTAAGTATTGTTTAGGCCTCTTTTGCTCTCTATGGGAGGGCTCCTCTCACTGTTGGTCTGTCTGAGTACAGGACCATGTAAACACACTACTGTACCGTGCACAGTTGTCAGCAGCCGTAAGAGAAACAATACACTCTTTCACAGCAGTCCGCTAGACTTACAAAAATACTACTAACTTCTTTCATGTGCAACACTCAATTTTAAGAGTGTTAATTTGTTTTATTAGGCAGATTGTGAGTTAGTCTTTCCTACTAAATGCAATTTATGCTTGCACTTTTACCTCAAACATCGCACTTGGTACTAAGCATTGATCTTTGGGGCTAAAGCGTAATTTGGGCTTGCCCAAAATCGGGTACACTTCAGACCATCAAGCCAACTGTGTCTTGATACACGATTATTATAACTTTATTATCCCACACTAACATAAGGAATATAGAAGAGGCTATTGGGGCAGGAGTGTCTGGAGCATGAATTGAGGCATCTTACAGGCCATCTTAAGGAAAAACCACACCTGGAAAGGGAGAAATGTGTTAGTCTTTTGTGTGTTGTACTGTTTTCTTTGTTGATGTATTTTTCCTGAAATACAATGTGGTTACCGATGGTGCGGTCCAACACAGCTTTTTTGTTCACTGTGGACAGGGACTTTTCTGAGAACTGTATGGGCTGCTATAGAGATCTAGTTCATGAAATGGTTACTAGGGGTGTACAAAAGGGGCCGTATTGGATTCGGCCTGAATCGGGGACAGTGATTTGACTCGATGTGGATCACTGTCCCAATTTTTGATTCAGTTGAATCCAAAGATTCGATGTTGATTAGGAGAAACAGCCATTCGGCCAGACACAGCTTTAAATGCTTTTTCTACATGCCTTGAGGTACCAGGTGGCTTGTGAACGCTGACATGGTGGGGCGGATGGAGCATCCCACTGCAGCACGGGGGGGGGGCCCTGTGTGCTCAGTGTTGGATCCGGAAGTGGATCAGAAGTGCTTTTGGTCCACTTCTGGATCCGCCACCGAGCGCACTGGGAATCCCCCCGCACTCCTGTGGGACGCTTCATCTGCCCCACCATCACAGCGTTCACAAGCCGTGCTGGTGCCTTGAGGTATGTAGAAAAAACATTTAAAGCTGTGTCTATGTCCGAATCACTGATTCTCTCCGAATCAATTCAGAGGGTTCTGATTCAATTCGGAGAGATTAAAGGGTCTCCTGATTTAGATTCATCCACTGAATTGAATCGGCGACCAAAGCTTCACACAGCCCTCGTGGTTATAATTTACATTTCAGACTTTTTTACCCACCAGTTAGGGCAGCTACATTTGTGGAAAAACAGAAGTGCTTGTACCTTGCTACATAATGTAGTGTAGCTAAGGCCCAAATGCAACTAATTACACTGGCTGTCTATTGTCATAACTGGCTGGAATGGTGCTGTGATTGTAATGATTGGAGAGAGAATATGAGGAATTAGGAAGAAAAAGGTAGAGACCACCATGAATAGCTTGGTACCCTTGCGCTAATCACAATGCTTTAATGTGTTGCTTTGCCTTGTGTGCTAAGTGAGCCCTCAGCATTTTCCAAGCAGTTTTAGCAGCTCTTTAATAAAGCATGTAGTTGGTCCTCGCAGGACTTGTTCTTACTGTTTTATTGGTCTTAAGAATAATGCTTATTTGGCTTTCAGTGCATAAATATGGTTCTAGTTATTAGACCATATGTTGTTGTCATTGAATTGTTGTGCGATGAAAGGTAGTAAAGAACCTGATTTTTGCCTCTTTGATTTTTAGGTTGCTTTATGCACGTTTGCTGTGTATGTAATGATAGATGAGAACAATGTTTTGGATGCTCAGAAGGCTTTTGTTTCCTTAGCGTTATTCAACATCCTCCGGTTCCCACTGAATATTCTTCCAATGGTCATCAGCAGTGTAGTGCAGGTAAGGTCTTAATGTTAGTAATTAAGTGGGTTTGGTTATGTGGAAAGGCCATTCTAAAGCCTTGGGATGTTTAAGCATTGCAGTTGTTTGGACATTCTAGATGTAAATCGCTGAAGTGCCCCCACCTTAGAAAGTTAAACTTACTGTTTTTTTTTTTTTTTTTTCTCCATGTGTTGGGCACACTAATAGTTTTGGTCTTGTACAGTCACAAACCCTTGCAAAACAAATATATATCTATCCTGTGATGGTGATGGGAAAGTGTCATGCCATCTTATAATGCTAGGAATAATACACTTTCTTTAACATCTGTTAAAAAAATCAGTGTTGTACATGTGTGAGAGGAGAGAGAAAGAGGTGTGTGCGCGCATATATATATAATATATAATAAATAAAAATAAATAAGAAACATGATTTCTCATGTCTAGGCCAGCGTTTCCTTAAAGCGCCTGCGGGTATTTCTTTCCCATGAAGAGTTGGATCCAGACAGCATAGTCAGAGGTTCCCTCAAAGATGGTAAGTCCCTATTTTGGTACAAGTTAAATTTGCTTCAGTACAGCATCTTATAGCAGTTTCCAGGATTGTAAATTTAACAAGTTTTAGAGCTCAATTCAGGTTGTGGGTAGGTTCTTCAGTACTTCTTGTTGCACTTAAAATGGGCTTTTAAACCTAGTGCTCTAAGAATTGATGCAACACTCAGCTGATGAATAGCAGAAAGGCTTGTTTTAATAATTACCAACAAGTTCCAAAGCTAAATGACAGAAAAAGACTCTTTCCCAATATAAAATAAGCTATTAGTCCTTATTATTACTGTAGCTGCACAGAGATCTTTACCCAATGCAGGCAGGAAGCAGTTCTTGTACAGGTGTGGATCCTTCACTTTTTGGCTGGGTGGTGCAGGATGGCTTCTTGATCTTCCCTGGATTGTTCATGCCTTGCTGCTGGCAGATTTGCTTAGTTTTTATACTGTTTAACTGTATACCTTCAAAGGATTTTCCCTTGGTAGTTGGCCAATTAAAGTCCAAACAAAACAGGGAGGGAAAGATTGTTTATCATATCATAATTGTTAATTGCCTTACTCCTGTTTTTGGATCTGTCTGGGTATGAAGACTTGTGTGTTTTTTACAGCCCCTGCAATTATATGTTAATCATACATGATGGGCCTTGAGTGGTCAGACAGGATGCTTAGGTATCACTAAACCTGCCTTGGGGTATTTGATTATCAATGGGGCACGTTTGTGGTAGCTTGTATGGGTGATGGTCTTTTTCCCAAACTCCAGACATGCATTAAATGGCTGAGACATTGTAACACCTCAGCCTGTTTGGAGAAATGTTAGCATGTCACGTACAGGATGCATGTGCACAATGCACCTTCTACAGGTTTCCCTTGAGATGCATGTTTAGCCTTCTGTTTTCTTTAGCTGCTAGGTCAATTGAAATGCATATGTAGTTACCTTGCCTTCACTGGCTCAGCCTTTCCTTTGGCTCTTAGCCTGGAAATACACATGTGATGAGTGTGTCAGGACTCTGCCAATACTTTTAACCATCACTTCTCAGGTGTGGTAGAAAGTTGAGGACTCTTGTTATGACTGTTATTATCTTATGGCATGGGTCTTGTACTGGCTTTTCTTGTGGCAGTCATTACCACAAGCCAGTCTTGCCCCAGCCATTGTCTTGCATTTTTGTGCAAGAGATGCTGTCCAAGCTTTCTCAGTTTTCGTACGCAGCACATTTTGGAGTCTCTGCAAGTAGGGACCTACCTAATTCACAGAGGCTGTCTTTATTTTTGCTGTCCCAGCACGGCATCTGGTGCCACTTCATGCAGTGTGTTGTGGGGTCTCCCCATGCTTCTGGTTGAGGGGCCCCAGAATTTCCGTCTCCTCCTGGGAGATAGATAGATGTCACTCTCTAGGGAGGGGGAGGGACTTCCAGGGCCCCTCAGCCAATCAGAGGTGGGGCGGGGGGACTCGCTGCACTCTGCCAACTTCCCCCCACCATGCTTCAGGATGCCAGGGCTTCCTACCTCCCCAGCTTTTTTTTTTCCCCCCTCCCCTCCCTGTTTTCCAGTTTTCCCAGGGACCAGGCTTTTTCTTGAGGGACCTACCAAATTTGTGGTTTCCGCAAAAATCACCTAATCATGAATTTGGTAGGTCTCTGTAGGACATTCTTATAACCTATGCAGGTTGATTTAGTTATATTTACTCTCCATCCCTTCCAGTCAGTAGCATATTTTTATTTAATGTCAGTAATAGATATTAAACAGCAGGTTTATTTTTAAAATAGCTTAAAAATAAAATTACGTACCTGCTGGAAACTTGTAGACCATTAAATAATTGTCATAGTAGTGAAAATTGGAAGATGGTGATGATAAAGCTTTCAGAAGGTATCTACATGTCAGTGCTCTGTCCCAAGGGAGGATGTCTTTCCAGCACGAAACTGACCAGCAGTCTTAGATTGCAGCAGGCAAAGTCTGGCCTCAGGCTGGATTGAGCCCACAGTGGACTCCGTTTCCCAGCAGCCCCTGCCCATGTCACTGTGGCTGGTTTTTATGGAGCTGTGACAGTGCAGGGCTGGGGTTTCCCTGGAGACTGGCCTCAGCAACACTGGTGGGATGCGTGGCTGGATGGGGAGCTGCTCCAGGGTTGGGATCTTGCATTGGTGACAGTGTGGTCCAGAGCTGGGGCAGAGCTGTGATCTGTTGCCTGCATGCCTCGGGCAGGGTTGTGCTGAGACTAGGGGTGCCCCAATACAGAATTTTGGGCTGATATACCTCCTAAAAAAAAATCGGCTATCTATATCAGCTGATACTGATCTCATTTCTGATACTCGGCTCTTCAGCTTGAAGAGCTGCATTCAGCTGGTAAGTCTGGTGGGGGGGGGGGGCAGATCAAGGCCCTTGCAGTGAGGGAG